TGCAGCAGCTGGGGGTGGGGGTGGGGGGAGTGCTGCTGCTGCTGATCCTGCAGCGGCAGCAGCAGCGCAGCAGCAGCAGCAGCAGCAGCAGCAGCAAGAGTGGTTTATTGGGCTAGAAGGCAGCAGCAGTGGTGTCGATGTTGCTGCTTTTCGCTCTCTTAGGCGTTTATATAAAACAGCAGCAGCAGCAGCAATCAGCAACGCAGCAGCAGCACAGCAGCAGCTTCTTGCTGCTGTTGAAATAGAGAGAGACCTCAGCAGCTGGGCAGCAGCAAAAGCAGCACTCATGCAGCAGCTAGACTTGCCTGCAGCAGCAGCAGACTCTCTCGCTGCGCATGCAGAGGGGGCCCCCCTGGGGGGGGCCCCCCTCGGGGGGGGCCCCCTGGGGGCCCCCCTGGGGGGCCCCCCTGAGGGTACACAGGGGCCCCTGAAACCCCACCCGCTGCTGACGGCGCCAGAGGAGCAGCTGCTGTATGCGTTGCCTGCTGTGCGTGTGCTGCAGCAGCAGGAGGATGGGAGGGGTTTGGCTTTGCTGCTGCAGCAGCTGCCTGCTGCAGCAGCAGCAGCTGCTGCTGCTGCTGCTGCTGTAAGACAAGAGAAAGCTGCAACTGCAGCAGCAACAGCAGCAGCAGCAGCAGCAGCAGCAGCAACAAATGGTGTATCTGTAAAAGCTTCTGCTTTCGATAGCTGGGGTGTATGGACACCAGAGCAGCAGCAACACTGCAGCAGCTGGCTGCGGCTGCTGCTGCGGCTGCTGCGGTGTGTTGAGGCTTGGAGAGAGGGGGCCCCCCAGGGTACAGCAGGGGGGCCCCCCAAGGAGACAGGGGGGGGGCCCCCCCCCCCGCTGCTGCGTCTGTATATATGTGCTGCTGTTGCTGCACTAGAAGAGGACAGACGGCTTGCTGCGGGGGCCCCTGATTTGCTGCTGCAGGCAGCAACAGCAGCAGCAGCAGCAGCAGCAGCAGCAGGAGCAGCAGCAGGAGGAGGAGATGCAGAGCAGCACTTGTGCTGCAGCACAGATCTGCTGCTGCCGTGGCTGCAGCTAGCAGCAGCAGAAGAGACAGCTGCGGTGTCTCCTCAGGGGCCCCCCAGCAGCTTGTGGTGGTCTGCTGTATACTTAGCCTTCAGGAGCGGAGACCTGCTCGTCAGCATACTGCTGCTGCTGCTGCTGCTGCTGCTGCTGTTGCTGCTGCTGCTGCTGTTGCTGCTGCTGCTGCTGTTG